CGTATATGTTATAGGGACTCGTTCGATATTAGAGAATGCCCCGTCCAGCTACGCAATGCCAACGCATATTCGCATTCGCCGCTGAATTGAGACTGACTTTCTCCTTCATCGACCTATAGTCCGACTGTTGGCACAGTTCAGTTGATATCAATTAAAAAGTGACAGTGAGATAGCAACGAACGGGAATGTTACACGAATCGATGAAAGCAGCCTATATCCACCGCGGTGGTCTAGGGATTACGGTTCTCCACTGCAGACCCGGAGGTTGCGCAATCTGATCCAGGCCACTGACGGCCACGTTTTCGATGGAGGTGAAAATTTAGCTGGACATCAGGGTGGTTGATTCAGGCGGACACCAGGTGACGTAACTCAATCGCTGGAGCTATAGAGTTACAGTACTATGTGGTACCTTTAGGCAGCACAGTTGCGCCGCTGTTTTCGTGGCACCGCTCACTCGGCCTTTGACGATTTCAGCAACGCTACAAGTCGAGCGTCGTCACGTGGTCGTGGGTGTTCCATGTGCACTGCGAACATGCCAACATCTACGCAGATAATGCCGATGCTCTCGAAATTTTGTGCTGCTGCAGCGTGGTTGACATCAGCTGTTGTCGTTATTCTCGCAGCGCTTCTTCCGTACTGTAGTCATGTTGCCTGTTGGTCGCCAGAAATGTGGTCGAAAGTGCATCCCTGTGTTGAATTGTATTACGTACAGTCCTATTTGCTTAGATGAGGGGGCAGTGGGTGTTGTGCTCAGTGAGGAAGGAATAAATGGTCGGCTTCTTTTTATATATTCGCGGCACGGCAAAACTTGCTATATATATATATATATATATATATATATATATATATATATATATATATATATATATATATATATATATATATATGTTTATTTATTTACTTATTTAAACTGGAGTTATTCGAATGGTTAGAGTGACGGAGAATTCATCGTAGCTTTCAAACCTCAAGCGAAAGGAATGTTGGATGCGATAGGGCTGTTGGGCAATGATTCACATCAGCGGTCGTTGGCCGCAATTGTAATACGAGCTTAATACGGGACCGCGTGCGAATAGGACATTTCAGCTCGATACAGCTGAAAACTATATTAAAACTACAGCTGGCTTTCTCACACAATTAACGAATCAGCCCCACGCGACGAAAGAATTCCATTCCTAACTGGCTCGATTGCGATGACTAGTGCAAAGATGATTTTATATTTGTATACGCGAAAAACATCGGAAGAGAAGGCGAAGGTAATGTGTGAGGAACTATAAGTATATACAAGCTGATGTACTTTGTTTTATTATTACGTACCGAGAACGTGAGCATAAAATGAATACTTGTAGGCGTGGCTGGAGCAACCGATTTTTACTCGTACCTTCATAAAAAATAGTAACCAAAAGTGTAAATGAAGCAACTCTGAAGCGTGAGCGCTGCTCCTACGTGGGTGGTGAGTGGGTTTCCTGCAAGAAATTTCAACACAAGATGGCGTACCTTAGCGCCACCCTGCTACCTAAAGGTAGCATATACAGTAGCTCTAGCTGGAACAAGGAAAGGCAGTCATTGAAGTGAACGATGTATCTTTCGTATTGACCACCACTTCAACACAAACTGAGCGGGGTGATTGCCGTCCGTAGAAAAGTAAAAACGGTTTTGCTTATTCCTGTCAAGATAGGGAGCGTGCAAACACCCTCTGGAAGTGTTCAGTTCCCACTTGAGCCAAGCAGCACCTCCACGAGGCCTTCGCCGATGGGCGATAGCCGGTGCGTTTTGTCAATTGTAGGCTAAAACATTATGCTTTCAATCGCACAAACGTACGACGGGCAGGACGATGCCATCTGTCTTGGAAATAAGCTTAAAGCGAAGTGCAGAATTCGCGTAGGGTGTTCATAATATCTCGACTAATTCGCTGCGACAGCCGGCACACACATGAGCCTAACACCAGGCTTGCTGGAACTGATTTGCAGCCTAATGACAATGTCTGTGGCTTAACGTGTGGCTTAACCATCGTATGATGACGCCGTAGTGGAGGCCGCTGTACATTTTAAACCCCTGGAGCTCTTTGACGTGCACCTAAATCTACGTCCACAGGCCTCCAGCATATCCATCGAAAACATGGCCGCTGCAGCCGGCATTCAAACCCGCGACCTTCGGGCCAGCGCCATAACAACTAACCATCATGGCGGGTCACTCTGGTCGCCAGAAAGGAACGTACGCTTTTCAGAAAATGTCCCGTATTGTTACACTTGGTCCAAGAAAAAACAGCTCCAGCCTCAGCGAACGTAACGCTGCGACATCGCGGAAAATTATAAATGAACGTTCACTTTTTTATTTCTGTTGTGTCCCGACTTCCACACACCCCTTTGTTCCCGAGCGAGCCCCGAACGTCCGAGTGGTTCTCCGTACCTGCAGACGCCCGGTTATCCACGGCTCCCCCTTTCCCCCATTCGTTAAAAGCGAGTCACGATTCGTTTCTCGCGGAGTTCTATTGCAACCCGCGATAAGGATTAAACACTTTTCTACCCGTTTAGATAGTTATGCTTTTTGGACCACTGGGCCCCGCGCGTACGTGTTTGAGACGATGAAATTTCCGGACATAACAATTTCTTGTAACAAAAAGCGTTTATATAAAAGAGAAAAAATTACAGCATATCCACCAAGTGAATGAAGATGAGTGGGGCGAAGCGTCCATCAGCCTCTCCGTCCGTTCGTTCGTTCGTTCTTGCTTCCGTCCGTCGGCGTGACCATTCATGCGTCCATCCATGCGTCCGTCCATCTGTCCATGCGTGCGTCCATGCGTCCATCCGTCTATCTGTCTGTCTGTTCGTGCTTCTATCCATCCGTTCGTCCGTCTGCTAGTTTGTCTCTCCGTCCGTGCGTCCATCTAGTGAACACTCCAAGTACCGCCATCTCCCATCCCCTGTGGCACATGCCCACTCTAAAGCGGGTATGTGCCACCGGTGGTGACGTACTACTACATACATACATACAGTAAATGAAAAGACCCACGCCTTAAGGAGCTTCGGCCCTAAAACTCATCTCGCTGTGAAATTATAGTATACAAGTGTGCACGTGTGCGCCAGTGCAGTCCAAGGCAGCTTAGTCTGATTTCAGGCATCATCGTGATCATCATCAACAATTCAAGCACCATCATGACCATCATCATTTAGCGTCATCATCATTCTAAACACATTCATCAGTATTGGCATCGGTTAGATTTATCTATTTCTTTATTTCTTACTCGAAGCGTTAAGCCACGCGTTTGGCGTGTTGACTATAGCGTCGTGTTCAGATGGACGCAGAGGGCGAGCAGCTTTGTGTAGTTACTTGCCTTCTCACTGTATAAAGAGAAGACACACCACGCGCCAACGTGCGTACGTGTTGGTATGCCCTGACCACATGAACGCGTTTCAACGCGTCAGGCCGCGGTGTGTCGACTCGGCGTCGCGTCGCGTTTCTATGTAGGGAGAGGGTGCGCATCGAAAGAGAACACTCCACGTGCTGACACGCATTGAACTGCATACGTGTGGTTAGGGCTTTAGAGAACAATTCAATACGGCGCGTAAGTGGGCTTGTGACGTGGTATTATTTTTCCGCGTTGTGTTGTTTCGCGGGCATCTGTAGTAGGCAGAGAAACAATAATACTTAACCTCTAGAAAATTAGGAACAGTCTTATCAAAGTATTGCGAATTAATCTACAATTTTCTCATTGAATGTTCTACTAAGCTTTGTTGCCCCATAAGTTAACTAATTAAACTTGCCTAATCACGCAATAAAGGCGGCACGAAGATGGTGTAACGCACTTTGCGCAATAGTTAGCAATCTGCATCCGGTCACGTCGGCAAATAATTATTCTAAAACTTATCTGACTAAGCTTTGGTTTTGAAAAGTGACCCCATTTCAGAGTTTTGTTATGTCTATAAGAAATTTCATATATTTTTATAAGCCTTTCTACGTTTAAAAAAGGGCGTCTCCTATAATCATATAGAGGTTTTGGGACGTTAAACCCCACATATCAATCATTAAGTTTAAAAAAGCATAATGAGTCTTTAAACTGGGCATATAGCATATGGTAAGTGAGCACTTTACAATGTTTTGGCCACCTCTGTGTCTGGGATGTTTGTGTCCCACGTTGCCTCTCATCGACGTCCTTGCGTTCATCCCACCATCGCAGCAAATGCGAAGCTCTTTTGCGTCGACTGCCGCCAAAGAATGAGGCTCTGTCCATGTCTCCCACGTAGTGCCTTCGATGGAACTGCCGAAAGGAAAGTACATCATCAGGCTAACGTTGTCTCGGGTCGGGCCATCACAAGGGGGCCGGCGACCCGTCAAACAAGGGAGGCGTCGCTAACACGGCGACAATGCAACGCACCTCGTCATTGCTGTAACGTGGGCCATGCGTGGCTGCGGCTGCTCCGCTTTCTGCCAAAGCCTCGGTGGCCAATTAGCGGAGAAAGGCCTTCGGTGCATCCTTCTCACCTCTTCGTGTACCTCTTTGTTCCGCTCCCTACAACAACCCTCTTGTACCTTCAACATTCTCTCTTTGTTTAGCCTAACTTCGGAGCCATCCAGAGGGCGCGAGCGTTTGGCTACGAGCTTGCGGCGCGGGAAAACAGACTCCGAGGGCGAGACACACTACAGACAGAACAAGCTCGAGCTAGAGCGCGAACGCTATTCATTACAATGCCCTCCCTTTCCCGATCGCTCTCCTTCCCTTCTACATTCCCCGGTGTCCCCCACCCCGTTGTTCCATCGTCCCTCGTGGCACGAGTTAGGAGCGAAGGCTGCGGGGGGAGTTCTTGGCACAAGCAAAACCAATCGATAGGGGTTCCGTTCCGACCTCTCTCCCATTCCTTCCTCGTGGCGTTCGAAAGCACCCTCTGAAAGCGGGGAAAGTGACGTCACCTTGACGTCACCGAACGGCGCGCAGGCGCGCTTCGGAGGGGCCGGTCCCGACTATTGATCCGCCTTCGGTGCGTTGTGTGGCCATCTTTCCGGCGGGATAACAGTGCGGGCATGGCGTCGGTGCTGCGGCTCCTAGTCCTGCTCGCGTGCGGCCTGGGGCCCGCCGTCCGCGCCCTGGAGCCGCGGGAGGTCTTCACCAACTCCTTCCTGGTGCGGCTAAGGGGCGACCACGAGCCACGCGCCGCCGAAGCAGTCGCCAAACGCAACGGATTCCACAGCATCGGGCCGGTGAGTGCCTGCTGCTCGCGAGTCGACGACCGTTGGGCTAACGGGAGTCCCCAAACATAGGCCGTACTCGCCCGGAGTTCCCAACAGCTGTGCATCTCTGCAAGGCCTGTCTCGCGTTCTCGCGGCCGGGTCTGAGCGTCCTGTGGCTCCGGTCGTAGTCGTCTTCGTGTTCTGCAGCATATACGACCGCGTGACTGTCAAATGCGAAGGTTGTCATGCACACTTATTGGCGACCGGCCGGTCCATTCGGCTCGGCCAGATGTGTCCTCATTTTCCTTCTTTTGCGGTCTCTGGAAGCGTTGATCGTCAAGGGCAACTGAGTCACTGTCACTTCCCAGATAAGAGGCCCGACACCGAAACCGAGCATTGAATGCACGAAAAGCTTCCTAAGCGTCGGCCGTGGTTAACCCAGTGTGCCACGTAAGTGTACTGCTTTTCGATGCAGCTTCCCTCGCTTTGCGCTGACAACGCTCATCGTTATCACTTTTCAAGCTGAACAAAGCTGTGATAGTGTCGGCTGACTGAAATGAACAACGTGTTATCTCTACCGAATAATGTACAGTCGTGCGCAACGGGAGCCGCAACATAGTGCCTGGTATCAAAGTTGCATCACCACTGCATGGTGGTGGCGACAAAGAAGGCAATCAGTGAGTTAAATACTGACACAACTACTGGTATTTCGCCCCGCCGTGGTGTTCTAGTGGCTAAGATACGCGGTTGCGGACTCGCAGGTGCGGGATCAAATCCCGGCTGCGGCGGATGCATTTCCGATGGAGGTGGAAATGTCGTAGGCCCGTGTGCTCAGATTTGGTTGCACAATAAAGAACCCCAGGTGGTAGAAATTTCCGGAGCCTTCCACTACGGCGTCTCTCATAATCATATGGTGGTTTTGGGACATTAAACCCCACATATCAATCAACTACTGGAATTTCGAAAACCAATTCAACAATCGCCAGAATCGCCATCCAGGCTTGGGTTTCTTTCAACCATGGCCACGAGGCTACAACTCATATTGAGCGCCACCGTGTTTCTTCTGATGGACTCGCATTTTTCTTTTGAAATCATTGGCGTCGCTATGGTGCGCAGGCAGGCTTGCGACTCCATCGACATTTCTACAGTAAACGTTGCCGCCTTGGCAGATGGACTAATTTTCGCGAAAGTTCTACTGCATGCACGTTTCTTACTCGTGTGGCTTATCTGTAGTCTTACAAACACTGATGGAAGTTCCGCGAGCGCCAATCCCACTTGAGCCGGAAGGATGTGGTGGCACTATAGTAGGTCGACGCTGAGGCACCCCGCCTGTGTGTGATTATGTAGGGTCAACATGAAGGCGGCTTACGCCAGGCTAGATGAAGCGAGCCGGCACTTCGTGCCTCATGCATTCTTGATCGACGTGTGCTGAGAAGCGTGCAATTGTGCAGGAGTTATAATGTCCAGCATCTGTTGGCGTCGTTGGCTAAGGTATACGTTGCTGGACTAGTTGGTTGGGATGCATAATTCATACGTCATAGCGCATCGCGACAGGAATAGGCAAGTAGATAAGCGAAGTAGCTAAGTTACACTAAGTGATCGTTTTATGTGCGATTTTACATGCGATTTTTTTTTCATGAATAGGCATGTGTGATCACATATCAAAAATTTAGCTGGAAGTTAGCGCTGTGTGTTGGTCACTATCTGTCCATGTCGTGATGAACTACGCTAGCGGATTATCGACCATGTATTTGCCTCTTGAGATCTTCACGCACCATAAAAATCAGCCGACAGCCGTCAACTTACTCCTATGAGAGAGCAAACAAACCGTTATTGGAAAGGAAAAGAAGATATTTGGCCAATCTACGTGGCTTAGCCATGGTAGTCTATGAAGGCATGTCTTCAGCCTGGTTCACCACCTCTCACTAGCTTTCCAGAATAGGGTGTTGCAGAGATAGACTTCCCGTTGATCTTCATGTAGGCCTTGGTGTTGAGTTTGCTGCGTTTAGCGATTTCTTTTCCCGCTATGTCAAGGAAGATTTTTGCTGTTTTTTTGCAAAAGAGAAAGTTGTCAAGTGGAAGATTTGGGTTGGTAATGTCACAGATGTAATATAAAATAGTACTTACGACGCTGTCGGGCTCCATCTTTACAATTGGTGCTCCTCTTCCTGTGGTGTGGGGGTGGCTAACTTCTTCATTCCAATCTGTCGCAATTCAAAAATGTCTGTATATTTCTTCGATACCTCGTCCGCCCGTCTTGCCACTTGTGTGAACCCGGTGTATGTCCCGACAATACTGAAGTTACCTATGAATCCGCTTTGGTATATTAGTAGTTATGGGGCTTGGCTGCTGAATCGAAGGATGTGAGTTAAATCTCAGCCGTGGCTGTCACATTTACACGGTAGCGAAATGCCTGAACCCCGTGCACTGTATCATGTGAGTGCACATTAGCGAACACTGAATGGCCGAAATTTCCGGGGCCCTTCATTCCGGCACTTCTTATTATCATATCTCGGTTTCGGGATGTAAAACACCAGGTATTAATATTATTACTGAAGTTACATATGATGCTACTCTAAGGCGGGTTATAATAAACCATCACGTGTACGTACGTTTCGACAAGAACGAAGCTCAGAACAAACAAAGCCCGAACACTGTCGTCAGTGTTATTGTATCGCCAGACTTTTAATATAAAAATTCTGCAGTGTAACGTCGGTGAAATGAGCCGTTCATTGTGAAAGGTGCCAATGTGACACGCGAATCTCTATTGGCTTTCTACCATATGGCGTTCTTTAACAGTCGCTGAAGGCACGAAAGACAAGCACTATTATTTTCCAATACCCTCTAAACGCGTCTGCCGTGGTAGGTGTTGAACGACTGCCCTCTGTTATATTTACTTGTTTGGTTTTTGAACTTTCCATGACATCCCTCCTTTCTTCGTGTTGAGTACCATGCTTCGCCAGCAACACGTCCACTTATAGTTTCTAAACACCAACGAGCCAGTTGTTTCGTGGTGTTGTTTCTCCACCATCGCGTGTTTTCAGTTCAAAATCAAATAAAGTGAACTTTTTGTTCTGTATTAAATGAAAAAAGTACTGTGAAACAGGACTGTTTGAAACAGCTTGAGTAGCTCACAGTTGCATAAAAAATAACACGAAAACAAAAATAAAAAGTTGGCGTAATAGCAGCACTATGGTGAACATGACCGTATGACAGTCCCTGCATGGGCAGTTCGCTACAACGGGGCGTGATGAATTGAAATAGGGGTTATCATACATACACGTACGTCATATTCAAAACAATAATATTACACTGTGTAAAGAACAGAAACATGATAGCGTGATTCTCATCTGAAAACAAAGGCAAGGTACACAATGCATTACACACAGAAACACGCTGTATAGATCACCGTCTTATAGTATACGTACAATTGAAAGAAGCAAATATAGACATACAATAGTTTTGCCTTGTTCTTCCTGAAAAAACATATGTCATCAAGAAGAAAAGGCAAGCGCTTCTAACAACCATGAACATTTATTCACTTAACTCTGAGACCATAGGGAAGAATGATCTCGAGTTACATTCAATCAATGCTATTATTTGCGCCTTGTTTTATTCGTGTAGCTGCGGGCGAAGTCGAAACTAGATATTTGATTGTAGTTCTCAGTATTTCTACAAGGCAGTGTTGTCGAGAAACTCAAGTTACAACATGCGATTGCGTAAAGATGTTGAATTCTACTTCGAGAGTTTTGCGTCCGATTAAAAAAGCTTGGCCGAAATGAAGAGCAACCATCCTCTTTGTCGCACTGATAAGAGGTCGCTAAACGGAGGCTCACTGACTATATACCGACCCATTCCATGTTTTTACACTGCCGTAGGCGCCGTCGACGTACTGAAGCGCTAGCTGCGACGTCACGGCACGTAGGCTCCGGCCATCCCAAAGCTCGCCACCACACTTCATGACCACTTGACAACTGGCACAGAAGCTGCAAAGCCGCCCACTAGCACAGCACGTGGGGGAGGCTTCCCGGCGCGTTGTACGAGGAGGTAGTAGGGCGTAGGCTCAGCCTAGCCCAAATCTTTTTGTAGATATGCCACGCAGAAACTGGGCATTCCACACTGCCCAGTACAGCAGGCACGAGTGTTAAGAAAACTCTGCTAGGCTGAATGGAGCCTGTGAAACACGGGAAAGAGAAAAAGAAAAAGAAATAAAATATAGGTAGTGATAGAAAGAAAAAAAACATCATTTTTGATGGAGGCGGAAGTATTGTAGGCCCATGTGCCCAGATTAGGGTGCACGTTTAAAAACCCCAGGTGGTCGAAATTTCCGGAGCCCTCCACTACGGCGTCTCTCAAAATCATATGGTGGTTTTGGCACGTTAAACACCACATATATCAATCGATCAAGAAAGAAAAAAACAGAAGCAAAAAATAGAATAAAGAAGACATATAAACCGGGATTCAGTATGGAAAGAAACAGGCACAAAAAGGATATAGAAAAACAGAGGGCAACATATAAAGAGTAAGGTAGAAGATTCAGTATGGAAAGAAACAGGCACAAAAAGGATATAGAAAAACAGAGGGCAACATATAAAGAGTAAGGTAGAAGCAGAGAGAAAGAGAAGGCTAAAACTAGAGAGAAAAAGAGATGAAGGAAATGAAGACAGAAAACTAGGGTGATAAAAGTAAATAGAAAGGAAAAGAGAGATAAATAGAAAGAAAAAATAGTTACAAAAAATGGGTACCAAAGACAGAGAGAAAGAGAACACAAATAAAAACAAGAAAGTCCACCCATATCCGCTTGTCTTTCCAACTTGTCACCACTAGTGCAAGCGTGCTGCCATATATTTGTATTGTTCCCCTGAATCAAGTTCATTTATGACTGAATGAATGTGAGATTAAAGGGGTTGGAAGTTCACGTGGTGCGCTTCTCATAAAGCTGCCGAGATTAGCGAGGGTTCATCGACCAGGAAATGTCATCCACGTGTTGCGAACGAGCAAACTCTCAAGCGAAAGACAAAGCCGAGAAA